CACTGCCTGCTGAATGGCATCAGATGCAGCAGGTGGATGGATTAGAGAAACCATCCAGGCACTGTAATTAGGTCCCCACAGACAAAGAAAATATATAGTATAGGAGGAGCAGCTGAAAATCAGAGTCAGAAAAAGTCCCCACAAAACTATGTTTATACGATGAGAGATGATGGCCAGTCTCCTGTGCAGAAGCTCGATCTGTGGCAGTAAACGTCCCGTCGCAGGATTCGTTAGTCACACTAATAATCCAATTGCTCTTTCTTGGGAATATTTAGACTGGCATTTCTAAAGAGGCTGGCTTACTGATCATCTGTCTGACACCGTTAACAAGGAGAGGCTCCAGACACAATGTTTTGGTTGAGTCCCTCTGGCCGTTCCCAGGGTGCTCAGAGAAACATGCCTGACAGAAGATTGAGTTGTTGAGAAGTGAGGAGAAATTCTACTTGTTACCATTAGTGGCATAAAGTGAAAACTCTCCATTCCCAACATCTCGGCGCTCACGGGAGTTTCCTCCATCTCCTGGCTGCTCCTCCAATTGCTGGGCTGCACCCTGCAGGCCTGCAAGGCCTGTGCTTGCCCAGTTTCAAGGCTGAAGAAAGAGCCCGGAGTCAGCAACAGAGACATCAGGGGTTTAATGGGTAGGAGAGCTTACAGGTCTGAAGCAAAGTCCTGGAGGGACACCCCACCACCGTGTGCAGGGCGTGGAGGGCAGGACATGGGACAGTCTTTGCTCCCGGGGGAAGGGGAGGTTACCAGGTACAGGGGAATTGATGTCAGCTGGGCTAGTTAGTTACGAGGGAAACCAGTCGAGGGGCCCGCCCCTCACCACCCCTTTGATAAACTATCACTAGCTAGGGCCTGGGGCAAGACGGAGGAAGGGTAGTCATGTGAGTAGGGTGTAGGTGAAGCAGGCCCTGACCCCGGGCAGGGGATGGACAAAACAAAAGAACAGCCATCTGAGGGGCCTGACCGTACCCTCCACCCTGCGTACCTTGCATGACCCTTACAGTCTTGGTCCGCTCATCTTCCTTGATATCCCTGGGGTCAGGTATGTAGGGGACACTGCAACCAGACACCACAGTACAATACGGCCAAAGTATCATGAGTAAGATACCTAGAACTGTATGCTCAGAGCAGTCATTTGCCACGATATGGGCAAATTTTGGAGCCAAATGCTTATAAGGTCAATGGAGAGGGAGTCACTGGCAGCAGTGCCCTGTCCAGTTATAAGGAAGGTAAGTCCACGTCTGGTTTTCACAAGCCCAGAGCCACCCCATGGGGAGGGGAAGGCCCGGCTTTAAGGGGAACATTCTGGTGGCCTAGCCAGGAGTCAGCAGTCACAGTACAGGTCTGCCACCCCATGTTATGTTGGGTGCAGTGAGGGGTGGACCCATTAGGTCTTTCTAAACAAAAAGCAGTTAATCCCATTAGTTGGACTTGTGTGTCCAGAAGCCAGCCTATTCCACTCCACCCAGCATAGCCCAGGGGGGGCTCATAGGCAGTCAGTTGTACAGTAATGTTTACCGACGGGGGTCCTTCTGATGTACTGGCACGTGGGACCAGAAGATGGTGAGTCATCTTCCCCCATGGTCAGTAGTCCCCACATAGTCGCGTTAGCCAGGTCGATTGTTCATGGAAGCCTGGGGGAGGGCGACAACGGCATCTCGCTGGACACTCAGCAACTAGACTCATTTCCTTCGCTCAGGCTAGGCATGCAATGTAAGACATCTAACAGGCACAACACAGGGGAGATCATGACAGTTAAGCACAATACAAGCAGTAACCACATCTGAGATACAGTTCAGAAAACTCTCCAATAATAGGAGAACGTGTCTAAAATCGTATATACAATGGCCACCTAGTTTTACCTTGCATGTCTGAACCGTTTTGGCTTTCCAATGCATTCCCTTCCTCAATGGCCAAAGCAGATGTACAATGCCTGTCTGAAAGGCCACAAGACAGGCTGCTCTGGTCAGTAAATTTTAAGTTAAACCATGTATGAGCCGGAATGACTTCCCCATACTGCAGTATGTGCAGATTTTTCCATCATTTTCCCCTTTTGATTGCACATCTTCCAGTAGAAAGCACTGATGATCAAAACATTTGTCCCGAGATGCTGGGGTGCTTTCTGAACCCCAGGTTCAGATTATGTGGGTGCTAGGCCTCCTTTATATTCACCTAGTCGTTCACATTGGGGGAAAACTAATCAGATCTCGTGAACAGGCTCAGGTATGTTAATGGGGGAAACACTTTATAGGTTATACATTTTATCACTTATACCCAATTGTCACACAAGCATTGTACATGTGCTTTTAGCAGCAGACTTAAAGCAAGCAGTGTCATACTTCTTGAGAGATTATACTCTGTGACAGTTTCACTAGATCATTTTCTTTCAATCCAGAACATCAGGGCAAAAGTATGGCTAACACAATAACTTTCATAAATACAGACCTCAATTAACAGAACTAGAATTCAACATCCACTGAAACATAATATTGTTCTCTCTAAAATTACCCTCATCTCCACCAAACTCAGCCAATCAAAATTAATTTGTTGGCAATGTAAGTCTGGTGAGTTGACCACATAGGCTCCTCCAAACTGGCTGAGGGGGAACTCCTCAGGAGTCTCAGACTGAATTCCCAGAAGGCCTCTCAGGGCCAGGAAAACAGTGCCAGAGGCCTGCCATCAGGCTCTGCCTCGGTGGACTTCTCGGTCCCCAAAACATTGAGATTCCTGCACATGCCAGGAGACGGTCTTTCCCATTCATCTGATAAGGCTGCTCAGAACCCTAGAGTTCCCAATTTCTGGAAGGACCAGGCAGAGAGAAAAGAAAAATGTTTCAATTCTACCCACAGGTGTAATTTACCCAGTTACTGTAAGTCATAACCAACTTGAGGGGAAGGGTTTCCCTCTATCTGGAAAGCAGATCAAACCAGGAACATTCCAGACAAAACCCATAAAAATTATAACCGTATTGACCAGTTCACTCAGTAACCAGTCTTTCTGTTAACTTTTAATGAAGCCGTCAGGTTTTCCATTAGGATTCTTTAATTTCTTCCCCAGTTCAGCAGTATACTCTGAAGTCTATCAGAGACCTGTTATTGTCCAAATGCCCTTAACTGAATTTTCTTGAAGTTGAAGCACTTTTGCAAAAGCATCAGAGTAAAATGATAACTGTCTATAAAAGATGAAAGACTTCAAAAGTCATGGTTAAACACCTGATTACAATGTAATCGATAAACTTGGTTACAATAACTAGAATTATAACTGATTATAATTTTATCCCTTGAAAACCATAACCTCTGGCAAAAACCAAGAAGCAAGTCATTCTGCATTTCCTGATTGGAAAATTTAATGCTTTAGTCTTCCTCTCCTAAGCAGGCATAGGTAGATAAGCTTAGACCCACCCAGCAATTAATGTTCTAATATTTTATCCTATTTGAAATGACCCATGAATTTTCTGCTTTTAACTTAGTTTCAAGTTACCGAAATCTGGAGAGACTATTTTAGATAGACATTCCCAAAACATAATTATTTCTATAGAGTTTACCTAGAGGCTCTTTTTTCTCCTTTACTCTTAGAGACCACAAAAGATTAAAGCTCCCGGGAGCCTAGGTAGATCATTTACTTCTCAAAGGCACAAGAGAAATACCAGTTCCTTCTAGAGAGCTGTAGCTTAACCAATTACAAAAGGCTCACTTAGATACAATAGCAGAGCCATTAGAGGGCACTGTTCTCCAGATCTCTCGGCAGCCCTCACTCAGCAAGGACAGCCACCCTGGGATTTCCCCGGAACTTTGGGGCCCACGTGTTAGTGGACAGCTGCCCC